AAGAGCCCCTGTGAAGTTGATTGCTAAAGCACCAAGCAAAGGTTTTTATGAGCCCCTGAAATGTCTGTGCACCCTGGTACCTCTGTGGAATCCACTTTCCGGTTGTCTTCCACCTGTCAATTTTTTGACACATCACACATGAGCAGGCAGAGCCTGGCTTACTGTTCCCTCTCCCTGTCTGTAATTACTACTTCTTCCTCTCTGTTAGTTAAGGTTTGGAAGTTCTAGATCTCATTTTTCAACTTTCTGTTTCTTCCAAACAGAAAGGTCACTCACTCGTTGTCGCAGAACTGGGAATTGCACCAGAAGCGGTTGTCCGTCATTTCCCCACAGCCACGGGTGGGTGAGAATTGCCAGGAAGAGGCATTTCCTCTGGGCTAACAGTGTAACTCTATGGACTATACCACAAGTACTAATCATTCTACACCCAGGTGTGTGTTCACTCTGATATTCCTTCTTCCCTTGCTCTGTTTCTGGCACATTTTTTGGTCAGAAAATACACACCGAGATCCCAGATGTTGTTGTTAGGTGCTGTCAAGTTGAGTACGACTCATAGCGACCCTGTTCTATCCTGCACCATCTTCACACTTCCTGACACACAAGAACCCGTTGCAGCAGTCACTGTGTCAAACCACCTGGTTTGAAGGTCGTCCTCTCCTTCACCGACCCTCCACCCTTTCCAAAATTATGTCCCTCTCCAAGGAATAGCACTTCCTAGCAATATGTTCAAAGTATGTGAGGCAAACCCTCATCATTCTTGCCTCCAAAGAGGATGCCAGTTGCACTCTTTCTAAGATATATATGTTTGTCCTCTTGGTCATCCATGGGATGTTCAGTCCTCTTCTTCAACACCACTGCTCAAAGGCATCAATTCTTTTTCCTTCATACTTATTCATTGTCCAGCTCTTGAATGTATAGCAAGTAATCAAAAGGACCATGGCCTGAATCAGAAGCACCTTAGTCCTCAAGCTGACATCATTACTCCTCAATAATTCAGAGAAGTCCCTAACTGTAGATTTTCACAGTGCAATGTGTCTTCTTATTTCCTGACTGCTTGTACCAAGGATGCTAATTGTGGATCCAACGACGAAGCTGTTGACATTTTCAATCTCCTCTCCATCCATCATGATGCTGACTGTTGGTCCAGTGGTAAGAATCTTTATTTTCTTGATATTGAGACAAAATCCATACTGAAGGCTGCATTCCTTGATCTTCTGCAACAAGTGCTTCAAGTTCTCCTTACTTTCAGCAAGTAAGATTGTGTCATCTGCATAACTCCAACCCTGATGCCACATTCCTCTTCATAGAGTCCAGCTTCTCGGACTATATGCTCGGCGTATAGATTGAGCAGTTATGGAGAGAGAATACAACCCTTATCAATTTTAAACCATGCAATGCTCCCCAGCTCTATTCTAACAACAGCGTCCTGATCCAGGAATAGATTCTGTACGAGCAAAATTACATGCTCTGGGATTCCCATTCTTCTCAGTGTCAGCCACAGCTTGTCGTGATCCACACAGTCAAATGCCTCAATAAAGCACAAACAGACATTCTGGTATTCCTTACTTTCAGCCAGGATCCATCTGGCATAAGCAATGATATCCCTGGTGCCACAGCCTCTTCTAAGTCCTGCTTGAACTTCTGACAGTTCTTTATCTATGTACTGTTTGAGCCATTTTTAAATGATTGTCAGCAGTGTTTTGTTTGCATGTGATACCAATGATATTGTTTGATAATTTCCACATTCAGTTTTTTTAATTTTCTTTTTTTCTATATTTTATTAATTTTCATAAACATTTACAGAGATTTTGGGTTTCCATTCATTCATTGTTGCACTATTCTCTCTACCCTCCTCCCAGTTTGTTCTTGTCCAAATGCCACAGTGCTTGTCAAAGCCAGTTCTGATTAATCTTCTTTGTCAGTGTGTCCTTTGCCATTCTCTATCACTCCTCCCTGAGAGAGACTTCACCCTGAGTCATAAGGAAAAGGGGATGGCGTATTCTCTTAGCTACTTCCTGCTGAAAAGGGACGCTGTGGGTTTCAGGGTGAAGATCTTCTCTCACTACTCTAAAGGGCCCCTTTGGCAGTAGGAAACACATAGACTATTATGGAGATTGATTTTGGAATTTAGATGCACTCTTATTGATTGGGCTTGGCCGTACATGTTCATATCCTTGAAGATGTATCATGGGGGTGTTGCACCCTAGAAGACACAAATTTGACTAACAAGTTATAAGTACATGAGTCCAGAAATTATGGAAAAGTAAAAGAAAAGATTCTTTCAATGTTTTACAAACCCTCCCCCAGGTCCCCTCCACCATGTAGCCCTCGCTCTAGACTCCTGTGATGACAGAAATACCTAGTTATATTTCCACATTCAGTTTGATCACTTTTCTTGGGAATGGGAACAAATATGGATCTCTTCCAATCCATTATACTATATCCAATATAATTAATTACCACTGTTCTATGTCTATTATTATGTTATCTTTTCAAGTCCCCATTGAATCCTATTTCTGAAGCCTCCTACCCCCATCTGCCCACTAAACTCTGTTATCCTAGTAGTTCACTTCCTTCCTGTTTTCCTCTCCTTTCCCCTTTCTCTTTCCCCTTTTGGACATTTATACATATCTTACTAATTGTCCTTCTGTTTTTACAATAATGGTCTTATACAGTATTTGTCCTTATGCGACTGAGTTAGTATATTCAGCATTCTGCTCTCTAGACTATCCAAAATGATAGAATATTTTACAAAACTGTTGCTCCAGCGTGCTGCATAGTATTCCATTGTGTGAATGTACTAGAATTTCTCAATCCATTTGTTTGTTGATGGGTGTTTGGGCTATTTTCATTTACTTGCTATTATGAACAGCACTGCTATGAAAATATGTGTTCATATCTCCATTCCTGTCTCAGTGTTGATTTCCTTGGGGAATATTGCTAGTGGTACAATAGCTAGGTCATATGAATTTTCTATGCTCAGCTTTTTAATGTCAGTTATTTATTAAGAAGACTGATGAAATTATGATTAAAGTTGCATTGAATCTATCCATTTGTTGTAGAGGACTGGTAATATTCATAATACTGAATCTTTGAGTCTGAACATGCTTATGTGTTCTTATATTTATCTAGGTCTTTATCTTTCTTAGGACCATTTCTTCACTTTTAACAGAGATTTTGCATATCTTTGAAATTCGCTTCAGAATATCTTGTCGGATTTTATGTTCTTATACATTAATTATTTTTTAAAAAATAACCTAAACATACATTTAAAAGAAAATTCTTTTATTGTGATGGTAGCAAGTTCAGAAAGGAACTCTTTGCCAAAGATGGAACCATTTTAATGGGAGGAAAAAACCCCAGAAAATTAATAAAAAAAAGAAGAAGGAACCAATCTGGGCCATTTGCAATGTTGATGCCAAAGGCTTTTGTACAGAACCCCATGGTCTATTAGACACAGTCAGATATAGTTATTTAAATGAATTAAAATTAAATAAATATAAGTAATAATTCAGTTCCTGAAATGTATCTCACTAACACATTTTAGTACTTGATGGTCACAAGTAGCTTAAACTCTCTCATTGCTGTCTAGTTGTGGAGCTGGACAAGAGTATTGAGCATCCTATTGATTGCCAAGAGAACAAACAGGTTTGTTCTAGAGAGGGTGAAACCACGCTGCTCCTTGCAGACAAGGATTTAGAGCTCCATCTCACATACTCTGGGCATGTGGTCAGGAGGGACCAGTCCTTGGAGAAGGACATCATGCTTGGATGGGTGGACGAACAAAGCAAGAGAGGAAGACCCTGGATAAGACGGATTGACACAGTAATGAGGGTAGGTGTGTCACAGGCAGTGAGATTGGCTCAGGATAGAGCAAGGTTCAGAGCTATTGTGCATAGGGTAGCTAAGAGTCAGAGTTGACTCAGCAGCACATAACAACAACTTAAAGTAATATTTTTTACTAATTTTAAATGCAATATGTATTTTATATATATACTTATATATA